AGAGTGAGAGAGTGAGAGGGAGGGTGAGAGAGAGTGAGAGAGTGAGGGGAGAGTGGAGGGAGGAGTGAGAGAGTGAGAGAGTGAGAGAGGAGGAGTGAGAGAGGAGAGGTGAGAGAGTGAGAGAGTGAGAGAGTGAGAGAGTGAGAGAGTGAGAGAGTGAGAGAGTGAGAGAGTGAGAGAGTGAGAGAGTGAGAGAGTGAGAGAGTGAGAGAGTGAGAGAGTGAGAGAGTGAGAGAGTGAGAGAGTGAGAGAGTGAGAGAGTGAGAGAGTGAGAGAGTGAGAGAGTGAGAGAGTGAGAGAGTGAGAGAGAGAGAGGAGAGAGAGGAAGAGAGAGAGGAGGAGAGAGGAGAGAGGAGAGGAGAGGAGAGAGAGAGAGAGAGAGAGAGGAGAGGAGAGAGAGAGGAGAGGGAGAGAGAGAGAGAGACCATTTATTCAATAACAAACAGATGAATATAACAAATAAAGTAGGCAATTGGCGCAAAAGTGCTACGCACTTAAAAATCATGGCGCCGCTTGCTAAACGAGAAGTACTTAATGTATTTAGCAACAATAATAATGATGAAACACAATGGAACAAGAAGAACGGAATAAAAATATTTATGTTGCAAAACATGTCAAAGTGATCGTCGAGGTGAGAGGTGAGTACTTGAGGGCATTTGCAGTGTCGCTGTTGTGTGTCAAATTCTTGCGCTTTGTGAAATACGAACAATAATCAGCAGTCAACTGACTACACGTTATTAGGGGCAGACGCAGAGAACACGCCACAGCTCTGGTGTTCGAGATATTGGTACTTTATGCGGTAGATATACATGCGTAAGATGGGTGGTCAGCCCGCTGCTAGCAGAATGACTTTGCTACTACGCACCGGATTGATAAATGATAGGCACACTCTTCAATAGTTCACTTCATTCAAGTGAGTTCAATTGCAATGGGATCTGACCATGGGCGTCGAAAGCGGGGGTGGGGTGGGGGTGGGGGGGGGGGGGGGCTCGGCGGTCTCTAAGAGCCCTTACCGGCCTCAGGGCCCTTACCGGCCAGAGCGTCCTAACCAGCCTGAGGGGCCTTACCGGTCCATTAGGGGCCAGCTCTAGGGGCCCCAGGGCACACCCTTCTGTGACGGTCCCACACCAATTTCTTTGAGGGCCCCGTAATGGCGACTGATAGCCCTCACCGGCGCCTCTGAGGGCCTAAACAGGTCCCGAAGGTCCCCCACACGGGCACGAGGGGCCCGGTGGCGCCAACTGGCCGTTGAGGGTTTACTGATCATATTTCTGGTCGTATTTCGACTCAGAAGTGCCCCACAGGGCTCGTAAGGACATCCCATGGGCCCCTGAGTAGCCACACTAAGTTCTCCATAAAGGCCCTACGCCAGCTTCTGAGTGTCCCTTGCTGGCTTCTGAGGGCTTTTTTTCTTTTTTACGCATTTTTGGAAAAACTAATGGGTTTAGTGAAAAACGCTTCTTAGATAATTCGAAGAAAAATGTCTAGGCTTTCCGATGATGCACTTAGTTTTGTGCTAGCTTTAGCAGAGTTTGTTCTACAGCGCTTCAAAAATCGCCCATTTGCATAGGACTTAAACGGGACTTCAAGACTTGCCCCCAGATGACGTCACGAGCTGACGTCACGATCAGGTAGAATCGCCGGACGACCCTACCTGGTATATAGGGCCTTGGAGTCCAGTTTTACCAACAAAGAAGTAGCGGAAGTAGCCGCTGCCGGAAGTTCTTGACCAAAGACCGCTTCACATACGGAGCGTCAACGCGATGGGCACGTAAGCGGATAGGGCTTTTGCGTAGGATCGCATATGTAAAACGGCCTTTAGGCAAAAAAATCCGGCAGGCGGCTATTTTTTCTGTAGGTAAAACTGGCCTTTGCTCGAGGCCCGCATCCTCGGATGAGCCAGCGGGAAGAGCATAGCCATCCGAGAGAGTGGTCATCCGATTCCTACAGGCCCATGGTTGCACCTGAGCTGGCTGCCGCGGTGGGTGCGGTAAACGGTGGGCCGACTGACCTGTTGACCTGAGGGCCGGCTGCCGGCCGAGCGGCGGCCGGCGCCGCTCCGGCCGTCTGGGGAGCGCGGCGCCGGCGCCGGCGGCTCGGTGCCGGCCGCGCCGCTGCCACCACCCTCCACCGGCTCGGCTGGCTTCAGGAACGGGATCAGCGCGTGCCAGGCGAACACGTGGCTACCGCCGGAGACGTCCGTCGGAGCGCCTACCAAAGGAGAACGGGCCGCTGCGTTAGCAGTGGCCGCAGCACACAACACCAGGCGCCACCTGGAAAAGCACTAGAAATTATTTGTTATTGAAATGCTGATCTCAGCGACAAGTATAAATCATGATACTGAACATACCGCACGATATACAAATGAATAGTATTGAAATAGGATAAACAATGGGAACTATTTTGAATTATATTCTTTTGAATTGGCTACACATGTGTTTCGACAAAATGTCTTTTTCAAGCCTTTTCAAGGCTTGAAACGAACTGGTACTAATGACCTTGAAACTAATGAACTGGTACAGAGAATCCTGTGCAAGGAAATGTTTTGCATGATTTGACATAACAGCATGAATTTTATTTTCCCAGTTGCATTGGGGCTCTGCTGGAGTTTGCTGATGACAGGATACTGAAGGGCTGAAGCTGGTAGCTGTGGCAGGAGCCCAGTGTCCACCAGCTCAAGATCCGACGCCGCCGCGTCGCCGCCGTGCGGCACTCCGCGGAGACGGGGACGGCGGTCATGATGGAGGACACCGCACTTCCCGCCTGGACTGTCCGGTCGGAGACTGGTAATCCCTCCGGTGAGCCGCACACCATGGAGCTACTGCACCGCGCGTGTCCACCCACAGCGCAGTGCCGGCAACGGTGCCGTGAGTGCCGTGAGTGCGTGAGTGCGTTTTAAAGAGCGTTTTACTGGTATATGTATGTGTTGAACTCGAAAGGTCAAGGTCAAAGGTTGAACTCGGTTCACGTGACCTCAAGGTCATCATGCAAACCATTCGATGCGCCTTGACGAGCTGAACACGATGAGACCATCCGCGCGGCTGTATCTTGCTCCTGTGATGAGTTATTAGCAAAAGACCTTTGGTGACCCTTGATGACGTCACATGACCTTACAGTTGTCCAAGAGCAAATAAGGCCTCAAGGTAGTCAAGGCTGATCGTATCTGAAGTCATTGATGGTATATTGGGCCATCCCGACGCGTTTAAGTGTCACCAAGTGTCACCAAGTTGACACCCACAGGGAGCCCGTGGGCTCCCTGTGGGTGTCAACTTGGTGACACCGTTATAAGTGTAAGCAGCGCTGTGACACCTTTAAATTACACCTGTGGGTATGCAGTTTAACACACACCCAGGCGATTATTCCCCCCAGTATCCCTATGGGTGTCAACTTGGTGACACCGTTATAAGCGTTGTGTTGTGACACCTTTAAATTACACCCGTGGGAATGCAGTTTAACACACACCCAAGCGATTATTCCCCCCAGTATCCCTACGGGTGTTATCTTGGTGACACCATTATAAGTGTAAATAGGGTGTCTGAGGGGAGTCGAAACGCACCCTTGTCTGGGGTGTATGACACCACAGTACAGAAACTGGACACCCTTAGGGATAGTACAATGGTGTATCTTGACGCTCATATAAGTGTTATCTGACACCTTTCAAAAACACCCGTGGGTATGCAGTTTAACCACTTACACCGTTAGCAGTGTTTTAAATTTTCTCCGTGCATAAGTACGAGGGTTGATCTTTCGAACAATGGAAACAAATAGCTTCTCTTATCCTACAGCTCTGCGATATTCTTATTTGACCGATTAAGGTTTCCTCTAAAGGAACGAACGCGTGTCCAGAGTATCCATAACCAAAAACTGGCCACTCACCGCGCCACTCGCTGCTCCCCTCCGCTGGGGCGGGCTTTGTCGACGAGCCGTTGACTTGCTGTGTGCTCCGGTCGGCCGAGAGCTGACAGGGCGGTGCCGGCTGCTGCTGGTGCTGTACGGCACGCTGAGCCTGCTGGTGCGACTGAGAGGGCACCGCTGGTGGTGGCGGCGGCGGCGGCGGCGGCGGCGGCGGCGGCGGCGCGCGGCCTGTGCTGAGGTCCACACCGCACGAGGCTGGGGCGGCCACCGGGGCAGTGAGCGCCCGCTGCAGTAGCGCGGCCGGCTGTTGCGCGCCACCGGCCGCCGAGTGTTCCACCACCACCCTGCTGATCTGCACCAGCCGCTGCGCCTGACCATCCTGAGCCAAATGGTTACACACGGGGTCAATAGACTGGTGAACAATAGACGGTTTGAATGTCACTTCCGCAAATAAAATCATCATGAGCCATTTTTACGAAGGTTATCTGGCACACATTTGGTCACATTTGGCGCTATTTGGTGAAATTAGATTCAAAGTTGATTCTAAATAGTTTTCAGCTTAGGTTGCACTGTTTGCTCATACTGCACTCTCCACGTAAATGTTTATGTTGTTTTTCTTCAAATGCAGTTTTCTTCTGTTTTTCAGGTTTATTTATTCACACCACGCAGCTCCATCGGCCAACGCCAGTCGACAGCCACATCGCGCGCGCGCCATGGCCGAATCCCGCTTTATACATTTCGACCATGGCGCATTAACACAAAATAATGGCGCACACCCTGCCAAATGCGGCCATATCCGGAAGCCTGTTTCCGGAGACCGACGAGCGATGTCTCTATCGTTACATTTCCCTCTCATTAAAGTGACCATTCCACCTTAACATTAGATTTGGATTGATACAGCTAAATTGGGGTCCCTAGCTCACAATCACCGGTTTCGGCACTCGCAACGTGAAGAAATGCCTTAACCTTCCAGGAGGTGGGGGCGGACATTTTTTTGCCCCCCCCCCCCCCTAAGTTTTTTCTATATATCTCCAGAACCGCTGCGCCGACTGTCACCAAACTTTCAGTACCCTCCCGGGTATAACTTTTAGGTACACATCGTGACCACTTTTTTCAAAGGCTATGATAGGTTAGCAGCAAATGACGGCCGAGTAACGTCATGTTCTGCCGTTTTCGACCCAACAAAAAAGGTTCGCGGGAAGAGCTGTCAGGCCTATAGCTTTGATGATACAGAAAAGTGTTCAAACATAAAATGTGTAGAATTACCAAGGCTACTATACTGATTTGTTATTGTAGCCTTGGCAATGTTAATATTTTGGAATTTGACCCCAAAAATAAAAAACTGCATATAATAGAATAAAATAGACATGTCATCGCGAGCCGGCGCTGCTGGCAGCCAGCTACGACTGGAAAACATTGCTCCGAACCTCCCCTGTACCTACATAGCCGCGAGCAGTATGTTTTTCTCGTAAACAAATTTAGGATCTAAGCATAAGCTTTCTGTCAGCGTGCGACGGTTATGTACGCCGTACCACTAGCTGCCTTTGTTTTAACATCACGGACGGCATGGCCATTGGCCACCCTCATCTTACACACTTGTTTTTATTTGTCCCAATCGCTCTGAAAGTTCTCAAACTCCCTGACCGGTCAGTGAGTTTGCAAACTCTCTAGTGACTTTGGAAATTCCCTAGTGAGTTTGCAAACTCACTGACGGGTCGGGGAGTTTGCAAACTCCTTATGGAGTTTGCAAACTCACGGATTTCTCAAACTCCCTGTAACATAACTATAAAACAGAAGCACAAAGTTGACTGGGGCCCGGCCCGAAGGTGCTCGTACCGTCGCCTGTCTGGCCTGTATGACTGTTGAGCAGGCGGGTGGTCCGTTGATCGGTGCCAGCACGGAGTGCTCAATGGCGGCGGCGGCAGGCGCGTCCGGCCGCACCAGCTCCGGCCTGTCAGCAGGGCCGCGCGGCGAGCGTCACACACTCAGTCAGACAGTCACCGACACTCCCAATCACGGAGAGTCACACACAGCCACGGAGAGTCACACACAGTATCAGACAGTCACAAACAGTCGGGGCATTCCACGATAGATCGACCAAAGCCGTACACCCTCATGTTATCCTTTTTTTTGCTTAAAATTGGCGTAATGGGTTGTGATGGGCGGGGAAGCCAGCTGTGACAAGGAATTTTTTTCTTCGAACAATGGTTTCCGAGATATAGCCTCGGGCAATTCCTAGAGGTCAAGCTGCAGCCCCATGTTCGGCGACTTATAACTCAGAACCTATTGGTTTTCTTTGAGGACAACTCTATATCGTTCAACTCGCAATCACCCAAAGAACATTTTGACTATCTCGGATTTTCAATTTTTGAAATTTTGGTCACATGACCTCTTGACCTATTTTTTGAAGTGACCTTGATATTTTCCTCACTAAAAGTTGCAATTTGGTCTGATGACGATTAAAGAATTACCAATTGTCATTCATTTGCGATAATAAAACAAGTGGCTTTCGGACTGCGTTGACCTCAGGTCAGGTCATTTTTGTGACGTGCCCTTTGTAAGTCAATTGCAGAAATATCGGCTACCACCGAAACGCATTTTACCCGTTCAAATACTTTTGAATCATGTTGAGCTAGGCTATTATTGTTAGCACTGGTGCAGCTTTGCATCAGTGACCCGCTGAAAGGTCATCCGAGGTCACCCGTTGAACACACGACAGTAATTTTCCTTTTTTGACTGTATCTTTTGATCAAATAGAGAAAGAGGCGTGGAACAGGCACCATTGTGCTTTTTCGAACTACTCCGCCACCCATGATCAGGTGACCAGTGCCCCCACCCTCAAACCCAGCGACAAGCAGAACCTTACGTTAACACCAGACAAAATAAACAGATAAGTCGCGGCACTCTCTGCTAAGAAAGGAAATAAAATTTTAAAAAGCAAACGAGAGAAGGGGTAGCGGGTTTTGATGGAGACAAGAACAGAATGCTAAAGTAGCTACTGCTGAAATCAGTATCAGTATCAGTATCAGTGTATTTAAAAACCTTCCAGGTGGCTATTCAGGCTTTCCGTCATACATTACCACACACGCACAAATAATATTTGGTAGGAATATAAGTGGCTAAAACGATCTGACATTAAACGAGATTTTAAAAACATGAGGGATTAAACACAAATGGTAAGCCTAAAAGCGCCGTAGAAATACACTTTAAAAACACACAATATGATGATAAAATGTTCATAAAGAGTTCACAGCAGCTTTGAAAGTTACCACGGACGTGGTGGTGCGAGCCGCAGGTGGGAGTCGGTTCCAGGTTGACGCGGCACGGTACGCAAATGACCTCTGTGTGGCGGTAAGTCGATGAAATCAGACAGATGACTGTTCTCTACTGCGATACCGAAAGCAACTTTCACTCAGAAGCGCATGCATTCATCTAGGGTAGAAAAAATCACTCATTCACATGTCATGCAAACATCCGTGGGGATTCACTCTGGTCAAAATTCGGCCGGTCAATGCTGAGGGCAGAAAAGCCTTTCCAGATAAGCGAAGCTTGTTGCTGGTCAGGCTCTTTGCTCCAGCGCCAAAGGTATTCATGGTGACGATGATGAGAATAATTACGAAGCGAGCGAAGCGAGCGGAGTCTTTCCTTAGATTAACCCGCGCCCTGCTGGGGGTCCTGGATTTCCACGCCCTGCTGGGGGGGGGGGGGTGTTTGAACACCCCCCCCCCTTGTAACTGGGCTCCTGGGCCACGTAGCAATACGCGGAAGGCGGCGTTCGAAAGAGCGTCAAAAATAATGACAAAATCACTTCGGTCAATTTTTTGGTCAGGTCAAAGGTCAGGTCACCAGAGGTCATTGAAGGCAAAATTTCGCCGATTTCCAGGTCGAATGTCGAAAATTTCCAAGAAGCCAACGCATAACTCGGGAACCAATAGAGCTACAGCGCCGCGGAAAAGCGCATTCGATAGCCCTATTAACGCCCTTTCTGAGTAATTCTCTCAGATTTGACCTAACGTCAACGGTTTTGCCTGCAGGGGGCAAAAACTGCAAAAATAGCCGATTTTTTCGAAAACAGTTTTTCTGCAATAACTTTTGACCCAAGCCTTGTACGAGCTTACTTTTACCGGCATCGTGTTCCTCTCGTCAAGACGCATCGAATGAACTATGACTTGACCTTGAAAGGTCAACTTGAAAATTTGACCTCAGGTCAAGGTCATGACCTGACCGGAAAGGGTCATGTTGCATATCAGTCGATCCGTATCGTCGAGCTGAACACATCTAAGGCATTTTCATCGCTCTAGCATGCCTCTATCAAAAGTTATTTGCGAAAAACTGTTAGATACCATTCGTGACCTAAGATGACCTCAGGGCATAAACAAGGGTCACGGACACCATTTTCAAGTTCAGTGTGTCTAAACCACTTGTAATTCGGTGTTTGGGAGTGTTTATAATGTCTTTCATCCAAAAGAGGCGCATTTCAATTTTCTCCCATTGACTTATAATGGGGAGGTCGCAAAATTGACCTGACCTTAGGTCATCGATATCAAAATTCTGAGATATACATTTTGTACATGCTATTGCTCTCAGCAATCGCTGAAAGTTTCAAAGCGATCGGTCACTCGGTGTAGCTATGACAGACATTGAAAGTTTTTATGAGGTGAGGTCACTTCAAGTGACCTGGTGACCTGACCTTGAATGACCTTGGTCTGAAATTTTCACAACATGTGTAGAATTGATGTATGATAAGGTGTACCGGAGCGCCGCCGTTTTTGAGATATTCGCGAAAAACCACAAGGGGGGGTGTTCAAACACCCCCCCAGCAGGGCGCGGGTTAACGGAAATTTCTGAGTATGAGCGGCCGGCCGTGCGGACGCTTTTGCGAGGCTTATATCTCAGCAATCACTTGACCGATTTACACGCGGTAATTTTTGTAGGGTAGTTTCATTCCTTCTGTCAAGTCTATATTACTATTTGAGGAGGGTGCGTCTGTCCGTTACCGAGGTCCCGACTTGGTGGTGCTTTGCGTGGACTACAGGCCAGACCGTTGCACCTAGCCCGGTGAAATTTGCACAACTCATAGAGCAAGGATGCGCGACGTGCCATTGAGGGGTCTCAGCTCGATCGGATTGATAGGGAGCGCGTGGCGCGTGCTCAAAAAGTGCAAATTCGCGTCATAGACTTTACATGTATAAATCGGCGTGCGAAATCGGGCGAAAACGGCTAATTTTGGCCGACACGGGTCCAGTTCCCGTGCAATATCTTGGTGACCAGGGGTCCGACCGGCACGGGGAAAACAGCATCGTGTACAGAATTGAACGGGCTATTGAATGGTGTGCAATGCAGAGGATAGCACGCGCCACGTGCACCGGAGAGGGCACTTTTATTTGAAAAATTGCGGTTTTGAGGAATTTTGGAATTAATTTTATTTTTAGGTGACCGTTAAATGGAGCGAGTTGAATCAACGCCTATTTGCAAGAGAAAGGTACCGCCTCTCATATAAAAATTGTGAAAAGCTGATTGATCCAAATCAAGGTGGTGCAAATCACAGGAGAAAATGGTGTTTGTCAATTTTGTGCCACTTTATTAATCACACGGGGTTTGCTGCATAACCTGATACCTTTGGCAATTGAATATGGTACCATTGGATAGAGCAATCAATTCTGTCCAATATTCACTCTTCATTTTTGCATGATTAGCAACAGTATCCTTAAAAATGTAAATGTTCCAAACCATTACATTGTCATTTTTAGCGAAATTCATCGATGGCCCTCAAAAGACTTCACGCCAGTTTTCGAATCATTCTAAAGTAGAACGCATGATAATACGACACGGGCACCTCGATGCGATGTATCTTTTTGTTTTCTTACAAAATGCTTGGCCGTCAAAAAGCAATCGAACGAAATGGATATCATGGATATCTACCAACCAAATCGACACAGACCAGCCCAATACCCACGGGTCAAAAAATCCCCGCTTCGCGTTGCGGAGCACGCGGGTAACCCTAGTATTGGACTATTCCCGATGCATGTGGGTGACCCCTTATGCAAGTGCCACGTGCAAAACGAAGAGGTGTCAGTTTTGTAATTTTTGCAATATCTCGGTAACTACTTGGCCGATTGCGCTTAAAGTTGGCATGTAGGTAGGCACCCAATAGGCACTGCATATCCATGTGCCAGAGTTGGGGTGCTGCTGCACGTGCGCACGTGCAGGGGTCGTTACCAGATCTCGAGAACGGCTCGACCGATTGCGCTCAAATTTGGTACACAGCTAGGGACCGGTTAGTAGGGTGCCGTGCTAAAGTCAGTTGGGACCCATTTTGCACGTGCGCACGTGCAGGGTGCCGCTTCCAAATCTCGAGAACGGCTGGACCGATTGACGCCCAAATTTGGCACATCGCTAGAGACCGGTTAGTATGGTGCCGTGCACAAGTCAGCTGGAGGTACCCCCTCGAAATTTCGCACGTGCAAGGTCCACCCTCTCGCTCGCTCCGTTAGTCGCCCCAAAAGACGTTATACTGGTTTAGATGAAACGTGATTTACTTGTATCTAAGTGCAGTTGTGAGGCAAATGCACTTGAGATCAAATTGCAGTGAAAGGATAGCGAGACTTCCAAGCTTACATGCTTTGTATGAAGTATGCTTTTACGCATCTTTTCAGCTGAGATTTAGATATCTGATTAATGGTTGTTAAGGAGAATTTGGGTGTCTTATTCCAGACACGCGGTCCTATCCATGATGCTATTTGAGCACGATAACGTTTTGCAGAGAAGGATTCGTGAAAATGTTGTCGATTTCTTGTTCTTATATTGTCCTGATCTACTGTAGTAAACAAATGGTTAAGTTGTGATGGTAAATGTGAAGCAACTTTTCGATACATGAACATAGTTGTTGTCTAGCTAGTGCATTTACTTTAAGTACATTGAGCTTACGAAATATGGGCATAGTATGTGCAA